AGGGACAGAAAGAGGGCTATTGTTGTCATTTGTTACTTGCTACTTCACTGCTGGCTGCTTTCCTCTTGGCCTGCTTTGCCATGAACTATTTCTCTTCTGTAATGTCCCTCTGCCACACAAGCTTGCCTCAGAACTAGCCAACTATAGAGTGAAACCTCTGTAAACTGTGGGCTACAAAACACACACACACACACACACACACACACACACACACACACAACCTTTCCTCCTTTAACGCTGGGTGCCAGGTATTTGTCTCAGCAGTAAGAAACTAACAAAGACAGCTATAATAAAAGGTAATACCAAGCACTGGTAAGGATGTAAAGAAACTGGATCTCTTGGTGTTTGTGAAAATATGGAATGATACAGCTACTTTGGAATCATTTTGGCAGTTTCTTAGGAAATTAAACATATACTTGACATATGATCCAGCAATTCCATTCCTAGGCATCTCATCCAGAAGAGTAAACACATATCTGTGTGAAAACATGTTCTTAAATGCTCATAGCCCCAAAGTGGGAACAACCCAAATGTCAATCACTGGGGAATGAATAAAATGTGTAATATCCACACAGTAGAATGCCATTCAACAATTAAAATGATCCAACTACTGATATATATTACATCACTGATGAACTTCAAAGACATCATGTTAATGAAACAAATCAGATGCAAATCACCACACACTATATACTTCTATTCATGCAAAAAGCCAAACCTATAAAACAGATTAGTAGTTCCCTGCTGCTAGAGTTGGGAACAAGGATGGTCCACAAATGCACATTTTGGTAGATGTGGAAAACGCTCCAAAACTGGACCATGGTGATTGTGTGAGCTTAAAAATGGGTGAACTTTATGTTATGTAAGTTATACCCAAGTAAAGTGTTTTTCAAAAACAAAATGTGAAATATGAGAAATGAACATCTGAAGAAACATGAACACAAAAGGTGATGCCTTCTTTCCAAACACCAAAAGAGCCCAGAATAGCTATGCATGGTCTAACCTTGAGCCTGGAGGCAGACTTTATGTCCTTTATATCCCTGCCATCTCTCTTAGAAATGAAGACAAATATGCTCATGCCTCTGTCAAATGAAACTTAAGTCAATATATCAGGTACAATTCTTGAACCAGCAAATGATTTCCAAAAGATATATCTCAAACATATTTGTTTTCATATATTCTTAAATCACTTCAAACATCTGCCTACATGATCACAGTGTTGTGTTTTATCTGAGTCTGATTTACAGGACTTTAGAATTCACTAGCTATGACAACACTATGTGCATTTTTAATCTTCCAAAAAAAGATCACAAAGCCACAATTTCTCCTGATCCTCTCTCTGAAGCTTTGGGGACCTAAGATCTTGGCTTCCTATTCTAGTATTACCCCAATCTAAATGCAAAGGGCTACTGAGTAAATTCTCCTACTCCAATTTACTTTGACATTCTGTTCTAATGTTTAATCACCATTAGCAGCAAGCTGTGCATTCTCCTGATCCAAACTGTTTTTCTGTTTGCCCTACTTCCATCCATCTGGGGAGGAAAAAGTACCAGTCACCTCACTTTCTTTATTTATTTTTTATATGTATTTGAAAATTTTATTGATAAACAGATAGCAATGAGACAGTTTCAAATCAAATCAGAAGTACAGTTTCAACAAATAACACTGCACATATTCTTAGTGGCTAATTGCTGTACAAGATGCGGACTTGAGATCCTATTTACAAACCCCATTAGAACAAATCATTCTATTCATTAAGAGAATGCAACTATATATCTATCCTAACCACTTTGAATACACAGATACAAAATGGACATTCATCTGTATACCTATTTTTTCTAAGTTCCGTTATTGAATATTATAGGTGTGTAAACTCAGCAAAATATTCTAAAAGAGTCCAGTAGCCCATAATAGCATTGGGTCTTCTGTTTAACTGGCAATGTCAGAAATTATTGACCTGAGTCCCATACAGCTCAACATAACAGCGTGGCTTTACTTCCTAAATTTCGTCTTCATACTTTTCTACTGGATGGTTAAGACCAAGGTAAAGCAGGACCTGTGCAACAAGAGTTGTAGCTTTTTGGTCTGAGAAGGTCAGTGAAATCCCCTCAGGATTTATCCTGAGATCCTGTACCTCAGATTGTAGAACCTTTGTCAGTGCAGCCATGTGGCCCCTCACTTTAGAAAGAGTAACTTTTGAGGGTAACCACTAATGGCACCACCCGATCTTAATTTACCTTTGGCCCCTCTTTTTTGGGTGTTATAATTCATTTTCCAAGTCAGCTCGGGTTTAAACATTCTTCTGGATGCTCTAATATTTCATACCTTGCCAAGCAGGGTAATCAACACTGGGAACTGAATTCTAATGTAACCCCAACTACAATGGAGGTGTTAGCTGCCAAATCCTATGAGATACATTCATTCCAGCACACAAAACACTTAGCAAAGTAGTGCCAAGGTATGTTTACAATTACTATGAATGCTGAAAAGGATTCCTGAGTGTTTTGTAGAGGAATGAGTATACTAGAAGTACATGTGGAATTATAACAGAATTCATTACAGAGTACTATAGTACTAGAATTATAATACTAGTTAGCATTAATTATAACACTAAGATCAAGAATATTTCTAATTGCAGCTACACCCAATAGGAAGGGGAAAAGACAAAGTTGTCTTCCTTGCTTCTTGTCTTAATGTAGCTCTTGCATTTTCAAGAAAAAGGTGTTTCATACACAATTCTTGCATTATATCCAAGTTACAACCTCTCATTTGTGCAATATGGAAGCACGAATATTGAATGCTACAAGGTAGAGATACACAAAAGGATAGGGTTCAATATTTCTCATTTTACTTATGTGATCCAGAAGGGTGGATCAATTGTCTAATGTGACTAAGATACAAAAACGTAACTACAAGTGCATCTTATGGGCCTCAGGCCTAATTTTCTCCAGTTGCTCCCCCACTTTTCCATGAAAGAGGCAAAGTAAAAAATAATCTAGAAAGAACAGTAAAGATCCCCCCAATAAGTGGATGCTATGGAATAAAAATGAATCACACACAATACCCCATTTCTTTTCCAACAGAAACTTAAAAGACTCTTCATGCCTTTTTTCCAAACCAGTTTGCAAATCCATGCTCCAGTGATAACTGTATGACCTATACTGCTTGCTTTATTTCTTGAGGTTTCTTGAGATGGAGGCCAAGGTTTCCATCTCAGGTGGAAAGCTTTGTGGGGTTACTGGGAAAGCCTGGGCCTTGTAGGTGTATGGCAGGACTTTCTGTGAAGGTATAAAGTCACACAAAGCTTCTGCTCCTCTAGAGAGGGGCCCCTGGGGAGTTTCACTCTTAGGCCCTTCTACCACTGTCCCTCTAGAAATTCCAACTGGGATAGGAAAAGGCCCTTTTAAAAAGGCCAGTGGAGGGGCTGGAGAGATGGCTCAGTGGTCTAAAGCACCTACTTAGAACAAGCTTAGCAAAAGCATCAGGGACCGCGGTTCAATCCCCCAGCACCA